AAGGAGGGATGATTAAGGTTAAATGCATATTTCTGAATCCTTTTAACAGAATTCCTCTCTATTTTCCCCTCTCACAGAATAACATGCTTTGGTGCCAGAAGTGCACTCATTCCCCCGCAGCACCGCTGACTTTTGCTACGGGCCCGGATTCACCTCTGGCCGTTTCTCTGCCGCAGTGCCTTCTCCGTGACAGTCGGTCCTGCCGTCTCGCTGCTGTCCCTCTCTGTCTGGAGTCCCCCTGTGCACTTCCTGTTGGCTTCTGCCATTCTCCATCAACAGATGGGCAGCTGAGGCCAGTTTCCAAATGAAAGACCCCATTTATTGTCCATTAACAAGCCGTCACCAGCGCTAACGAGCTCTAATTTCCATTTTGGTCGGTACTGGATCCAGTTCTGTTATCTGGGCTTTGGCCAGAGGGAGGACGGCCATTTGCATGGAGGCCGTGCGGTCCGGCTGTAACATGCTGCCCTGTGATGTGATGCAGACTCTTCCCTTGGTTCCACTCCACTTGGTATTAACAGAATACATCTTCTAACATTTGCCTTGATTTTTAGCTCTTTTGACGTCAAGAAGCTATAATATAATTATTTCATTGTGCTCGTTTTTGCAGTTATTAACATAATTTGTTACTTCTCCTGCATAGCCATTTCAATGCTTGATGCCTTGCTTTGGGTGCACTGGGGAGATTTGGGGGGAGGGGGGTGGCTTGTCACACGTGTTTGAGTTAATTAAAAAATGCTTCTGAGTACCACCGTGGCTCACCAACACTAAAATATCGTGCTGCTGCCGGGACATCTCCTGTTGGCCTCCAGTGTCCCCCCGAGCGGCGATGCGTGGCCTGTCGTGCCGCTGCTCCTGTGCTTACGGGAAGCCCCCCCTGGCACCCCGTCCGGATGCGATAGCGGAGGCTGACAGCGTGATTGGGCCTCGATGGTCCAAGGGCACCGAGGTGCCAAACGTCGTTAGAGATGAATGAGCTGTGGTTCCAGAGGGGAACTGCATGCTGGGACATTTGGAGATTATGGCCGTCGAAGAGCGAGAACTGTGACAAGATTACGATCCGGAGCGCCGCGATGTGGAAACGCACCCGGGTGTCTCGATCTTACACCGTGAGGGGAATGTAGCTGTCGGCAAATGTGTTCAGTTTTGTTCTGAAGTGCCTCTATGGTACTGATCACTAGTCTGGCTGTTGAATGAAGCCTTCCAATGAATACAGGGTTGCTTCTGCTTTCATGTCATTTTTGTTTACATTTGGTTGGTTAAATTTGCTTGGTTTTGTTTTAGTTGTCGTCCTGTTCACCCTTGTTATAATTAAAGGTAGGTTTGATCCCGACAGGAGTCGTCTGATGGGCTGAGAAATAATATTGAGGTAATTGTGAGATGTTTACCCGTGATGGGACTGCTTCGACCAAATTCTAATGCCACCAATTTAACTGTCTTGCACCGTTTGTTCAGTATTTGTGCCCTTTATTTTTGTGCTGCCTTAGGCTGATGTGAGCCTAGTAAGTAAATCCCTGTTTATGCTTTTGCTTTCTGGCCTCCACAGCGCCCATCGTACCTCGCAGATGCCCCTGGAGGGGCCCTGGCAGCAGGCCAGCCTTCAGAGCGAGATGGACAGGCTGCTGGGCTGCATCTCCATAATCACTGATCATGCTTTCAGGATGCCAAGCTAACACTGCAGACATGGAGATGTGAAGACAAGAAATTGAAAGACCAGTTTTACTGGCCGTTTTACTTGAGGGTGACAGTGAGACTTTAAGTGGAGCGTTTAGGGCATAGATTAATGCACTTGTTTGTTTGTCACTAGAATCCCAGCTGGGCCCCCTTTGGTCCTCAGCTCTTCTCACCGTGGCTGTCTCTGCACAGGGCCCTCGGGGACCCCTGTCCTCCCCCCCGCTCTCTGCTCTCTCGATGGCCCCCAGGACTTGGGTCACGAGGCTGGTGCCGCTGGCTGTCAGGCTGGGCTGAACGGGGCCAGCCGGCTGCGATGGCTCTAAGCCCGGCGTGTGCGTGGGCTTGATAGTAGGCTTTAGGCGCGTGAGGTGCCAGAGATAAAGCGGCATTAAGGAGAATTCCATAAATCCGGTGACGGGGGAGTCTCTCGCGCTCGGCGGGCTTAGCTCTGTGACCTCTGACCTCTTCCCGCCTGCCACCTTTCAGTCCCAAACTCTCAGGGCTGCAGAGGTCTCTCCCACTAGCTTCACTCACACATTCAGGCACTGAGGCACGCCTTCCTGACCGTGTGGGTAATCCATAGAGAGACAGTGGGCTGGTCACGGCAGAATTCTCCTGGATCAGTGCCGGTGTGACTTACGTGCTGAAATATCACTTGTTTGATCTCCCCCTGAAAAGGTTGCAGTCCATGCCGAAATTGTGAAATTGTTTATTGTGTCCCGTGACCTACTTTACGAAGAGACGGCACAGAGCTGCTGACGGGGTTAGAAATGCTTCATGTTGTAGGTATGACACGCGGAGATGCTGCTGTTTACCCAGCTGATGCTGGACGTAAGAGGAAAATGCATTTTATAACCAGATTGCTTTATTGATTTCTCTTAGCTGTTGACTGAACATTGCAGGTAATCTTCATCTAAACTGACTGCAGGAAACCGTAGAAACGCTTTAGTCATTCTACTGCCTTCACTGCCTTCTGGAGGTAAATTGAAACAGTCACGTTGGCAGTTTCGTATTACCTGGGCTTTCGGGCATCTCTAATCACACTTCGTAAAAAAAAGGAGAAAAAGCACTGGGCATTTTCACCCCTCACCTCAATCAGCCCCGCCCGCGCACTCTCAGCTTCCTCTTCTCGCATCTCAGATGGTGAAAGGTGATATTGTAGCTGGTGATGATGTGAGGTGGCGCTATGGATGGCACGGCACGTGCCAGCCGACGACGACACGGAAACTGATGCTATTACAGGAACGCGGTGAAAATGAGAAGCACATAGACAAATCTGGGCTGCATAGAAATGCAGCTGTGGCATTAATGTCCCCAAGCCTATACTGCTCTTCAAAGGCGAAAGCGTAAATTCACTGACAGTGAAACTGAGGAGGAGAGCGGCTGGGTTTTTGGCCATCCACCCGGATGTGTAGTAGACCCGGAAATCCTAGTTTTTTCTTTTAATCCAAGCACATTTGAACTAACATTTCATTTTGATTAAAATATGCAGTTGCTGTGTTTGGCCTTCGTGGGGCAGTATAGAGGTCATGAACAGGCCTTGTTAAGGCTCTTCATACATCACAGACTGGGAAATTCAGGGTAACGATGATCTCCCCAAAATTGCACAGTATGCACCAGCTACAGTTCCAGGGACATTTAAATGTCTACTCCCAGCACCCCCCCCCCCACCGACATGAGCAGGATTTTACAAGGCATATAAAAACGTGTGTATGTTATTAAATAAGTCACTTAAAAGCCGCTCTCCTCATTATTAAGGAGAGCTCTTCAGCATCACATCCAACCGTTGGCTCTCCTCACGCCAGAGCTGCAGCCTGCACAGGGCTGATTTACTCCTGCTATTTTTTTGCATGAATTATTTAGAGCATATTAGTCCTGAAGAGGCCCTGAGGCTACAGACATCCAAAGCCGGGCTTCTGTTCCTGTTTAATTACTTAACTTCTGAAGTTTGCTCCCCCTCGGTGGACTTGCTTGGCCCCAGTTGATTACCGGCACTACATTTCTGTCGCCTCCCACTGAGGTCCCACATCTTTCCATCAGATTTTTCTTTCTCTTTCTTCTTTTTCTTGCTTTGCCCCAGTCGCTCCAGTCCGTGCCCTGCTTCTCGTATCCAGTGACCTGACAGGGTGGCTCGCAGGGAGCTTATCACTGCTTACCGCTGATTCATCACTAGTCGAGGCTCCCGGGTGGGTGTCCGACAGTGCAGACCTGTGCTGTGAGACAGCGATGAGGAGGTGCCGTGGTCTGAGTGGCTAGTCTCCGCTGCCTAAGCAGTCCCGGTGATCTCCTGTGCACGTGTAGCTTAAACGCCCTCCTGGGTTGACTTCACTCAGGTCGATCGCAAATCGACCACTGCACGCACCCATCCAAAAGTCCTACAGAAACGTCAGACTCCGGACACCTCATAACTCGTCTCTGGGAGGGAACCGCACTAATGAGGTTCGACTTATGGAGGTCCTGTCGCCATGACAACCCCTGGTAGTGGAGCGTGACCACTCTTCGCCGAAGAGGAGCCCTCAGCCAAGTTAAGGGCCAATGGTTGGCACCCTGGTCAATCCCAACACCCCCAAACAAGCAGGAGAGCATTCCTGTGCAACCATGAAGGGGAGACCTAGCTTTATGGCTTGATGGGGGTGGGGGTCGCAGGTATGGCATGCTAGAGTTCAGCTGGACCTTCTATAGCCCAGAGCACACAGGACTGGGTTGGTTTGCAGGGAGTCGGGTATCAGGCTCTGTGGGCCCTGCATCTTCTCACCTCTCATCACGCAGGCCTGCTGTCAGGTATCAGGCTCTGTGGGCCCAGTATCTTCTCACCTCATATCATGCAGGCCTGCTGTCAGGTATCAGACTCTGTGGGCCCTGCATCTTCTCACCTCTCATCATGCAGGCCTGCTGTCAGGTATCAGGCTCTGTGGGCCCAGTATCTTCTTGCCTCTCATCATGCAGGCCTGCCGTAAGCTCCTCCCACGTATCGTCATGGGAGCCACATTGGCCTTCCTCAGAGCACATTGCACTGTACTGTTGTTTGTGGTAATTACATTTTTTTTATTGCCCCACTGCACAAATACCTCAGTCTCTATACATAACATGTTTGTAATGCACTGAGTGAATCACACGATTCCCACAACTCTTAGTAAACAAGCAGGGGCTGCGGGGGGTGGGGGGGGGGCTGTCACAGAGGGCATCCTTCACCCCGGGGTCACACAGGTCCGGCTGTACCCCACCCTCGCCATTCGGCACCCTTCAGCCGAGAGGCAGTTTGTTTGCCGTGGCACTGTGTCTTGAGGGGTCACACTTCAGCATCCTTCCCTCTGCCCTCCTGACAGAGATCCGAGGGGGAAGGGGCTCCAAGGACGGCCCCCTGCGACAGCTGCCCCTGTACGACACGCCGTACGAGCCGGCGGAGAACGGCACCCATCTGGATGCAGAGCACGGCCTGTGCCTCCGGGAGAGCAGGCTGCCTCGGGACGACGAGAGGCCCCCGGATGAGTATGACCAACCCTGGGAGTGGAAGAGGGAGCGCATCTCCAAGGCCTTCGCAGGTACGGTGCCTCGACGTGGCTTGGGGGTCCCCGCAGCAGGAATGCATCAATGATTCCTGATGCATCTCTAACCACTAGTTGTCGTCTTCAGCTTGTTTCCACCAAAATACCCCCATAATCATGCTGCCCTCTGAAGGGTGGGAACAAGGTTTTGTCACTTGCCATCAGGATATGCGTGTATGTGTGTGAGCAGCACCTGGCTAACTGGGCTATAACCGAGCAGGGCTGTTTGGGAGAACCGGCCCAGGAACCGGCCTTTGGCAGCAGCCCCAGTAGCATCTGGGATCTTTGAAAGGTTTCTCTTCTTGTTTCTTGTCTTGCCGCTCGAGCAGCCCTGCTTTGTTATGACTGCATTAGCTTCGCGGGCACTGTAGATGGCGCCAGAGGCCCCAGGCGGAACGAGGAAGACATCACCACTAAGTCGCTGTCAGGTACCGAGGCCAACGGGCCAGGCCAGACTGGCGCTGTCACCCCCACCTCCACTTCCCTGTCCGTGTGTGTGTGTGTGTGTGTGTGTGTGTGTGTGTGTGTGTGTG